TGGAGTTGACAAGTAAATTATCACATCATTTGGGATCCTAACTTTATAAGTGTAGCGCTAATGAAATCCATCACATATGTTATGGTGTCATTAGTATTATGTACATTAGTTGTTGTCATTATAAATCCTATATATACATATGCACGAAGAATCCAACCGCTACATTATAAAACTNTCTGTTTTTTTTTTTTTTTTTTTTTTTTACTTTTATACATCCTAACTTTGTATCTAACTAATGTGACTGTTTATATGTCTACACTACATTAATTATATAAGAATTAAATACATAAACAATTTCCCTGTAATCAATGTGGAGTTGACAAGTAAATTATCACATCATTTGGGATCCTAACTTTATAAGTGTAGCGCTAATGAAATCCATCACATATGTTATGGTGTCATTAGTATTATGTACATTAGTTGTTGTCATTATAAATCCTATATATACATATGCACGAAGAATCCAACCGCTACAGTATAAAACTAGACTATCATAAACCACTCTAATGTTGACTATTAAGTTTATTTAAAATTAATTAATAAATAAAAGACCAACTTATAATAAATCATTAAACAATAGACAAAAATTAGATACAAAGTTTGACTAACATTAAAAAATCGAAAAAGTAACAGCAGTTTGTTATCAATTGATTTGCCGGAGGTATGAAAAACAAGATACATATGACTAAAATGAAAAAATAATAAAAATACTGGCAATTTGTTCTCCAATTTTTTGCTGACAGAACGGCATAATTTATAGTGGTAAATATAGATCGAGCAACAATTTGTTCAAAGGTGATTTTCTTTTTTCCTGAAATCACAATGAGAAACATAAATCAGGTGAATTACAAGTTCAAAGGTGTAAGAGTTAGCCCACTTATCGAATTTCGCGGTGATGAAAAGCACAACGGCAAAGGAAATTCTAACGGTGGCTTAGGGAGATTCCGGTGGGATTTTGTCGAATTTACCAGTGAGATTTTGTCATAGGAAGAGGCAATATTTTGTCATCAACACAAATGGTTAAAATAGTTTGATATACTGACTTAATTGTTCTCTTAAATTTTTTTAATAATCGATGTAGTTTTTATTTTAAATAAACTTAATAAAAGTCGAATTGTTGGTGATTTGTGGTATCAACTCAGCATTGTTACTATTGTGATAGTCTAAATTTTCTCTTAGTTTACACATATAGCATCATTCTAAAATAAATAAAAAATAAAAAAATTAGTTCATTAAGTCATATATATTATTGTATTAGATTTTAATAAGATTTATCTCTAGAGAAAAAAATGCCAGATATCATTGTTGGCTTTGGTAAGACAATTCTTTTAATATTTAAAGCTTGTTTTTAAAATTTTATGTGGAGTAATTGAAGAAAATTGGTTTTTTAAGGTTTAAATCTGTACAAAGTCTCACATATTATCCTTCATTAATGAATTAGTAAGATACTTGAAAGTGCAACCAAGATAAGATCAGTTAATTTTTTTTTTTTTTTTTTTCCAATGTGATTTGATATCATTGTTTTATAGGGTAAACTAAAATTTTAGAAATAATATCAACAATTTTTTATAATTATTTTACAGATAACAACTAATGATCAAAAAAATATATATAACGATCGATCATTTCTAATAATTATTTTCTTGATAACAACCTATATAATGATCAATGAAATATATTGGTTGATTGATCTATCTATTAAGATAAAAACTTCTCTTTCAACATTGGGGTGGGATACGTGGCATTTATCTTTAGGAGATACGATCAAATTAATAAAAAAACTGTAAATACAATATTATGAACCTAATTAACTATATATTGCATCTTGTTTACGATGTTCTCACTTTGGATTCTCAAAATTAAGAGTGTATAGAAAATATAATATGTGACATATGTATGACATAAATATACAATCATCTATTTTGGCACTATTAGTATTATGTACGTAGATGTCGTCAGAAACCTTGTTTATGCTTATCTATTAAGAATCCAATGACCAAAGGCATCCTTAAGATGGCTTTATATTTCCTTTTGACTATTTATTAAAGAATCCAAGGCAAAAACATTGTAATCATGATAAAACCAATTTTAGTTAATAGGGTTCATATTATTGAATAAGATTATAATAAGGTCTTATCTCAAGAAGAAAGATGTCACATATGCCACTCTATTATTGAAGATATGCTATTGTTTCGGAGGAGATCAATCGATCGATCTTTAATAGATTGATCTATATATATAGTTCTTAATTTGTACACAAATTGTTACCGAGAAAATAGGTATTAAAAGTGATTGGTCAAACTTTCACAAAAATTTTAGACTACCCTATCCTCCAATCATCATATTGAAATACATAATGAAAAATTTACAAAAAAAATAATAATGTTAAACATCTCAAGTTTTCTCTCTGATTTTCCATCTTCAAGAATATACTATTCTTTGTGACATTAACATGTAATTAAATGAAAATTTAACATGATAGAAATTATACTGATGTCACATTAAATAGTATATCAGTTGAGATGAAAATTTTGAAATAATTCTAAAACATGCAGCATTACTCAATTTAAAAACTAATATTATTGTCAATGAATTGTCCTACCAAAGCCATGTGAGAAAAGTCTAGAGAGAGTAAGAATTTGAGAAGAAAATACAGAGGAGGAATGATTCCTTTACTGATTTTGCTTAAAGGTTTTATAGCTCGAGTACATGCGTTTATATACAGGTTCAGATAGTGAGCTAAACTGAGCTAACAATCATAACGAACATAAAACAAAAAACTACGTCATTTACATGAAATATTCTGCTCCTTAAACTATGTCGTTTATATGAAGAGCAGCCGACTCCTTCTAGCTTTCATTCCTAGCACTTTGACACAACAACTTTGCATAGCCAATATTCCCCCTCAAAACTAAACTGTGTATCTTCCGACACTTTATTCATTAGCGGCATAGTCAATATTCCCCCTCAAACTAAACTATGTACCTTCCAACACTTTATTCATCAGCTGCTAATTTTAATTTTGCACATTTGATGCTTCCTTCAAATTGCATTTTAATTCTGCACAACTGATGCCTCCTTCAAACTGCATTTTAATTCTGCACATCTAATACTACCTTCAAACTGCACTTTCTAGTACTTCATTCAGTAACACAATAGAAATTCAACCATTCAGTACACCAACATCACCACAGCAACAAAATAATTTTCCCTAGTACTTTAATCACAAACCACAACAACAAAAACATTTTTTTTGAGCACTTTAATCACAAATCACAGCAACAAAAACAAAACATTTTCCTGTCTATACTGGAATATAGTTGTGCCATCTCAGCAGTGACACATCCTTTCTACCAGTGCCAGTTTGATTGAACCAGCACAAAAAGTAAACATATTTCAGTGAGTAACTGAACCAACACAAGAACACATATGTCAGCCAGTAACTGATTATACCAATTCACTGTTGTTCAAGAAGAAGACATTAAGAACTTAACTCAGTAAATTGAGCTGCTGAAAGGGGTTTTGTAAGATAATCAGCAATTTTAAGTTTGGAAGGAACATATTGAATCACCATTTTCTTGGCCAACACTTGTTCTCTTATATAAGGGGTATCAATCTCTATGTGTTTGGTTCTAGCATGAAACATAAGATTGGGAGCCAAGGCCCTTGCACTCACATTATCTCACCATATAATAGTGGTATTGTGAAGAATGATTCCTAACTCAGAGAACATATTCTGTAGCCAAGCCACTTCTGTAGCCGTGTGAGCTAGTGCACTATATTCTACTTCAGTTGAAGAGAGGACTACCACCTTTTGTTTCCTAGAGCTCCATTGGATTAGGTTAGGTCCCAAGTATACACAATAACCACTTGTTGACCGCCAATCTTCTAAGCTACTTCCCCAATCGGCATTTGCATAATATTCAATATGTAGAAAGCTAGCTGGTTTGAATTGAAGACCATAATCCAAAGTACCTTTAATATATCTAAGTACTTGCTTGCATGCTTGCCACTGAAGTTCAATTGGATTTTGTAAAAATTGGCTTAGTTTGTTAACTGTGAAACTAATATCTAGTCGGGTTAAAGTACGGTACTGTAAGGCTCCAATTGTGCTCCTATATAAACTAGGGTGATCAAATGAATGACTATTAGTGGGAAACAACCTGGTGCCTAAAGCCATAGGAATAGAGCAGGCATTGGCTTCTAGTATCTTAGTCTTGAGAAGAAGATTTGATGCATATTTAGATTGTTTAAAATGAATACCACTTCCTGATCTACTAATTCTAAACCCAAAAAGTACTTTAAGGAGCCCAAGGTTTTTAATGCAAACTGAGTATTAAGATCCTGAACTAGTTGAAGAACATAAGTGTCATCAGAGCCCGTGATAAGTATGTCATCCACATGCACTAGGACATAAATTAGACCAGTATTATGCTTTAGGATAAACAAACTTGAGTCTAAAATTGAGTTGATAGACCCTTTGTTGAGAAGAGCAGTTTTTAACTTGTAAAACCAGGCCCTAGGTGCTTGTTTAAGGTCATACAAAGCTTTATTTAGCTTGCAAACAAAAGAGGGATGTTCAAGATCCTCAAAACCACTTGCTTGATGCATATAGATTGTCTCATTCAACCCACCATTTAAAAATGCATATTCACATCAATTTGTTGAATGTCTCATCCATTTGTCACTACTAACGTAAGAATAATTTTGATTGTTGAAAGCTTGACAACCGGACTAAAGGTCTCAAAATAGTTTAATCCAGGGGTTTGATGGAAGCCCATGGCAACTAGTCTTGCTTTATATTTTTGTAGGGAGCCATCTGCATTGAACTTTGTTCGAAACACCCACTTATCACCTACTATGTTCATATTAGCTAATGAAGGGACAAGAGACCATGTATTATTCTTGATCAAGGCTTCAAACTCACTTTGCATAGCATTTTTCCATTCAGGATTTGCAAGTGTTTCAGTAACAGTGGTGGGTTTAGGCACCATAGAAGTCTAACTTGCTGTGAATATAACTTTAGGAGCTTCAGAATTATGAGCATCAGTAGAGATTGCATATTTAGTAAAAGCATTGAAAGGAGCTGTTGTGTTAGTATCATTAGTAGAATCTGTAGCCTTTGTAGTATTAGCAGGGATATATGCAGTTGATTTAGGTTTTGTCACCATTGGATGAACATTTGTGACAGAAGGTACCTGGAAAGTTGAACCATCATGAGGCCTAGAGTAGTGAAGAGCGTCCGCAAGAGAGCAACTTTGTGAAGATCTTGCTAAAGGATTAATAGAATGTGAGGATAGAGTAGATTGTAATGGTTGTGATGACAAGACATAAGAGGATGAGGGAATTTTGAGATCAAATTTTAATGAATAATTTGGTGGAATGTAATTTGGAGGTAAGATAGGAAAGGAGAACACATGCTGAGATTTAATGGGTAAAGATGGATCAAAGGATACTGTTTGAAAATCTGAGGATGAAGAGGAGGTAGAAAAGATTGATTGAGGCTGATCTGAAGATGATGAATTAGAACATGGTGGTGAGCTTATGATGTGATGATTGGGTGACATTGATGGTGAAATAGGTGCTGATGAAGTAGATGTTGTTTGGGATAATAATGGACTTGAAACGTGCTTACCAACTATTGTGATGTTAGGTGAAAACCTGAGCTGAGAATTAGAAACTGTAGAGGGGACAAGACCACTTGAGGAGGGACTGTGAGAAATAACAACATAGGGAGAAAATGTAGAAGACTGATATGTTGATGTAGTGTTAGGTGATAGACTATACCCTTCAAAAACCCTTCATGCAATAGACTATAACCAACAAAAACACACTTAGAAGAATGAAAATTAAACTTATGGGAACTAAAATTTCTAAGATATGGGAAGCAAGCGCACCCAAACACCTTTAAACTATCTATATTGGATATTTATGAAATAATTTATGATATGGTGAACTATGATTAAGAACACGAGTGGGCATCCTATTTATGAGAAATACAGAAGTTTCAAATGCTAACCACCAATATTTAAGAGGCATAGATGCATGTGCAAGTAAGGTAAGACTAGTTTCAACAATGTGTCTTTCCTTTCATTTCTAATATTTTGTTGGTGGATATACACACAAGAATACCTAAATGTGATGCCTATTTCATTAAGATAAGGAAGAGAGTCTTATACTCTCCTCCTTGATCAGATTGCAAGCATTTTAGTATCCAAATTGTCTTTCAGAAAGGTGGTCAAGTTTAACAAAAATTGATTTTACCTTAACTTTGGTTTTTAAAGGAAATAGCCAGATAAACCTACTATAATCATTTAAGAACTGGACATGGTATCAAAATCCTTCTATAGAAGGAAAAGGGGCAAGACCCCACACATCAGTATGGACTAATTCAAGTAGGACATTAGCTTAGGACTATGATGGAGGAAAACTGGTTTGGTGTGATTTTCCTAGTTGACAAGCATCACAAAACATAGTGGAAGAAGTATGAACTTCAGTGCTTTGGTGACCCGAACTGGAAGCAGATTTCAATTGAGACAAAATTTTGTTCAAAACAGATGCATGAGGGTGACCCAACCGCTTATGCCAAATCATATGATCATGAGAATTTCTATTTTGCAACAAAACAATGCAAATCAGAAGTGAAATGCGTGTAATCATCATGCAGAATTGAAGTAGGCATAGAAACATCAGATTTAGGCAAATGTGAAGTATTATGTTGTGAAGCATTACCTTTTGATTTAGACACACCAGATTTAGACAAATGTGAAGTACTATGTGAAGCATTATTTTGTGAAGAATTACAGCACACATTGGGAGCAATAGTAATAGTATCAACATTAGAAAAATCAGGCAAACATATTTCATTTTTATTGCTCTGTAATGCATTACATTCCAAAGCTGAAGCAAATTCTGCTTTATTCACAACAATATTAGAGTTAAAAGAAGTTACAGGAGACACTTCAACGACATACTGATTAGACTAACTATTTTGTGAACAAGTTGTGGATTAGAAGGAGAATTGTTACATTGTAAAGGTGACTTTATGAATGACATGGTGTTTGAAGAACATTGAGATGGTAAGATAGTACTAGATATACAATGACAATCAAACCAATTATTTTTTGACTCAGAGTTTGCAGTAGCAATAAAAGTGGAAGAACTGGGTTGTTTATATGCGGATTGAGCAGATGGAATGTTGAGTTGATACAACCCTCATTTAAGGTCCCCTTGTAATAAAATTGCTCTTGTGGACTTGTCCTTGACAACATAACAATTAGAATCAAATTCCAAAATCACATTGTTATCCTTAGTGAATTTAGAGATGCTTAGAAGATTTTTGTTTGTAATTTTGGGAATGCAAAGAATATTCTTATGATGCAAACACTTAGATTGTAAAACCCTTGGTAAAAGAGAATGACCATTATGTGAAATAGCAAGATACTCACCATTACTTACCTGAAGTTTCTCTGTTCCATCAAAGACCTTGCTGATATTCAACTGATTCAACTCAAAAGCAACATGGTCTGTTGCACCTGAATCCATGTACCATACAAGATCGACTGGAGAATAAGTAGTAGCAAGGGCAGTTGGAGAAGTATGTTGAGTTTGATGTGCTGAAGTACTAATGTAGTTGCCAGGAACTCCATGTACTGATGTGGAAGGAGAAAACTGAGCAACATGTTCTAAACCAATCGAAGCAAAGTGTGCTTGACTATTAACAAATAATTGTTGGCTAGGAACACTAAAGCTTGGAGAATGACTTAAATTGGTATGTAAATGATCAGCCTGAGGATTATAAGCCTGTTGTGACACACCATAGTACCGTTGATGCATAGATCCTGGCTTAATATTGGCAACCATTTGTTGGCCTGCATGAGTAAGTTGTTGAGTGGTAAGATGAAAGTTGTTGATAGGTTGTTGTGATAGTTGACCAGAGTTGTAGAAATTCTAGTAATTTTGGTTCTGAGAAGGATTCATAGATGACTGCAAGTAACCATTATAAGTGGTGTTATATATGTGATAACACTAGATTGCTGAATGTCCAGCTTTATTATAGACCTGACAGATCAACCTATTTCGACCTCTCCCTCTACCATAAGACATTGGACCAGAATATCTTGGACTGAACGTGGTAGCTCCATAATTGACAAATGGTTGACTTGTTGGGATAAGGTAGTTTTGAGGATAATGAGGGTTACTAAGAGAGTTCAGTGAAAGTTCAACACTAGGAAAGTTGTCATGCACTAACTTGATGTTATTATGATTAACCTGAGTGACTGAATTTGGACCATTAAAACTGCCGGAATTCTATTCAGAGCAGTATTTGCAGAACCATTAAACCTACCAGGGTCCAGAATTGTTGTTTAGAGCAACATTTGCAGAGCTGTTGTATAAGTCTACTAAGTTAAATTTCTCCAAACGTATTTCATACTTTTGAAGCAAGAACTGAGCTTCTTGCAAAGTAATCGAATCAACTTTTGACTCAAGTCTAGAGGTGAGATTAACTACCAAGCGTCACACTCAAGCCCCAAACCATCTAACACAAATTGTATTAAGTCTTCATCAGAAATAACTAAGCCACTCGCAACTAAAATTTTAGCTATCTCCTTCATTTTCTTAACATAATCTCCTATAGTAAGACTCCCTTTTTGTGTTGTTAGAAGCAGATTCTTGAGATGTAAAGCTCTAGCTTTCGAATCAGTAATAAACTCACTTTTTAAGGCAAACCAGATTGCAGTAGAGAAACAACATTTTGATACATAACTGAACATGTCCTCTGAAATAGAAGCTAATAGCCAACTTACTAAACATTTGTTTGTTTTAATTAATTGAATCACTACTTGCCCTAGGTTCAGTACCAATTGAATTTTGATCATTATCAATTACAAGACCACAGGGTATAAGACGCGGAGGGCAAGGAGATCTACCTAGTAGATGATCTTCCAATTCATGTGATCCGACTGTGAAAAGAACTTGGGAGCTCCAAAACCTTTAATTATTCCTTGTCAACTTTGGGCTTATAATCTACAAGCTTGAAGCAACAACAGAGACAGTTCGAGTTGATGACTCACGAAGCATTCCCTCTACGCTATTAGGTGATGGAAATGAGGAAGAATCTTTAGCCATTGACGTAAGTTAAGGGCTCTGATACCATGTGAGAAAAGTCTAGAGAGAGTAAGAACTTGAGAAGAAAAAACAAAGGAGGGATGATTCCTTTACTGATTTTGCTTAAGCATCTTTTAGCTTGAGTACATGCGTTTATATACAAGTCAGTCAGTTAGTTGAACTGAGCTAACAATCATAACTAACATAAAACAAAAAACTACATCGTTTACATGAAATATTCTTCTCCTTAAACTATGTCATTTATAAGAAGAGCATTTGACTCCTTCTAGCTTTCATTCCTAGCACTTTAACCCAACAACTTTGCATAGTCAGTAAGCCAATAGTGAAATTAAATTTCTTACCATACAATATTATCTTAATAAATTTATTAACTTGTTTAGCATTAAACTAACAAGTTTCATGTTTTATCTTCATTAATCAATGATAGTAATTTACTAAGATGGAGCAAGATAAGAGCTTTAAATTAATTTTAATATGTATTTTGATATCATTGAAGCATACAATATATTAAAATTTTAAAAATAATTAACTACTCATTTTAATATCCATTTTCTCAAAAGCAACCTATGATTAGGGAGACATATTGATGGAATCGAACAATTAATCTTGTTAAAGGCAATTTAAATTATCTTCCACCCAATCATATTAATCTCCCTTTTCTTGATAGAAACAAACATATATGATCAAAGGAAAACATTAATCAATGCGAGATCATTTTAATGCAAAAATTTATCTTACCATGGGGTGGTAATGTGACAGTTTTCCTGATAAATAATATTTCATTAACATAATAGACTAAATTTAAATTTATTTTATCTTTATTTCATCCCAACTTTGTATCTCAGTAATGAGGCTGCTTATGTGTCTACACTACATTGATTATAGAAGAATTAAATATGTAAGCAATTTCTCCGTAAGCAATGTGGAGTTGACAAGTAAATTGTCTCATTATTTAAGATACAAATTTGGGATCATAACTTTGTATGTGTAGCATTATTGGAATCCATCACAAGTGTTTGGTATCATTATTGTATGGGGTAAACTAAAACTTTAGAAATAATTTGATCAGTAATTGTTTATATTCATGTTTCATATATCAACTGATGATCAAAGAAAGATATATATATATTAATCGATTGATCATTTCTAATAACCATTTTTTTTTATAAAAGCCTAAATATGATCAATGAAATATATCGAACGGTGGATCGATCTATTTTTTAAGATAAGAACTTATCTTTTAACATGAGGCGGGATACATGGCATTTATCTTTAGGAGATAAGATCAAATTAATTAAAAAAAACTCTAAATACAATATTATGAACGTAATCAAATAAATAGTGCATCTTAATTATGATGTGCTCATTTTGGATTCTCAAAATTAAGAGTGTACAGAAAATATAATATTATGTGACATATGTATGACAAATGTACAATCATCTATTTTGGCACTATTAGTATTATGTAATAGTTGTTGTCGGAAACCCTGTTTATGCTTATCTATAAAGAATCCAATGACCAAAAGCATCCGTGAGATGACCTTATATTTCCTTTTGACTATTTATTAAAGAATCCGAGGCAAAAACATTGTAATTAAGATAAAACCAAATTTAGTTAATTGGGTTCATATTATTGTATAAAATTTTAATAAGGTCTTATCTCAAGAAGAAAGATGTCACATATGCCACTCTATGATTGAAGATATGCTATTGTTTTGGAGGAGATCAATCGATCGATATTAATTTCTACATAAATTGTTACCAAGAAAATAGGTATTAAAAGTGATTGGTCAAATTTTCACAAAAATTTGAGCCTACCCTATGCTCCAATCATCTTAGTGAAATACATAACGAAAAATATACGAATAATAATAATGTTAAACATTTCAAGTTTTCTCTTTGATTTTCCGTATTTAAGAATATACTATTCTTTGTGACATTAACATGTAATTAAATGAAAAATTAACATGATAGAAATTATACCGATGTCACATTAAATAGTATATTAATTGAGATGGAAATTTTGAAATAAGACTAAAACATGTAGCATTAACCAATTTAAAAATTAATATTAATTGTCAATGATAGGGTTTAGGGTTGATAGTAATAACAAGTTGCATATTTTATCTTCATTAATGATAGTAATATACTAAGGTGGAGCAAGATAAGAGCTTTAAATTAATTTTAATATGTATTTTGATATCATTGGAGCATATGACATATTAAAATTTTAAAAATAATTAACTACTCATTGTAATATCCAGTTTCTTAAAAGCAACCTATGATAAATGAGATATATCGATTGAATTGAACAATTAATCTTGTTTAAGGCAATATAAATTATCTTCCACCCAATCATTTTTAATCTCCATTTTCTTGATAAAAACGAATATATATGATCAGAGGAAAACATTAATCAACTTGAGATCTTCCTAAGGCAAGAATTTATTTTCACCATGGGGTGGTAACGTGACATTTTTCCCGATAAATAATATTTCATTAACATAATGGACTAAATTTAAATTTATTTCATCCTAACTTTATATCCAATGATGTGACTACTTATGTGTCTATACTGTATTAATTATAGAAGAATTAAATACGTAAGCAACTTCTCCGTAAACAATGTGGAGTTGACAAATAATTTGTCTCATTATTTGAGATACAAATTTGGGATCCTAACTTTATAATTATATGTGTAGCATTATTGGAATTCATCATATATGTTATGGTGCCATTAGTATCATATGCATTAATCGTTGTCATTATAAATCCCATATATACATATGCATGCAGAATCCAACCACTAAAGGCAATTTTTATAACTTATAATTTCTTTTGACTATTAATGATTAAAGAACCTAACTGAAAGAACATCATAATTAAGATAACACAAAGAACTAAAATAACACTAGATGTAAAAACTCTTTCATATATTATATATAAACTGGGGTATTTTAAGGTCGATGGATGAATACATATAAAAATCAATTCAATAAATACTCAGTAAATATAGATGAATGAGGTGTCAATAAAAGAGTGATGTCACATCAGTTTTTACATATTAATTTGTATATTTACTTCGTGAGAAAATGTAGACTATCACAAACCACTCTAACGTAGACTATTAAGTTTATTTAAAATTAATTAATAAATAAAAGACCAACTTATAATAAATTATAAAACAATGGACCAAAATTAGATACAAAGTTGGAATAAGATTAAAAAACCTAAAAAGTAACAGCAATTTGTTATCCAATTGATTTGCTGGCGGCTATGAAAAACAAGATATAGATGACTAAATTGAAAAAAAAAAAAAAAAAAATACTGGAAATTTGTTCTCCAATTTTCTGATGACAAAACGACATAATTTATAGAGGTAAATATCTCTTTTTTAAAACTCGAACCAAACCGACCGGTCGGACCAGTCTAATTGGGAACCAACGTTGACTCCGGTTTGGTCCACAATAAAACCCGCTTTGGACTGGTAACGGACCAGTGGAATAGTAACAACAGCAGGTCTGATCAGCCCGATGGCTAAACTGGGTCACTTAACACTCTATCATTAAACCTTAAAAAAACCAGTCATCTTCAATCTTCAATTATACCCAATTGAATCCAAACCATCCACAAGCCAAAAGAGAAAAGAAAAAATAAGCAAAAAAAAAAAAAAGACAAGATTATAGGAACAATAGAGGAAGAAGCAAGTACAAGAGTCAATAGAGCCACCATTA